ATACCACATAAGTACCCTCAGGAGGCAGGTTAATTTATCACTACTCCACAGTTTATTTGCTACAAAGTTGTGTGAGAATTAAGATCTAAGATATCAAGCTCAATAGAGCCATAAACATGATTTATATTAGTTTTCATTTATGATACTTTAACCTTTCCTTAGCCTCAGCTAGCTGCCTCACAATTCCCTTCTAGCTTATTAAATGTTATTTTGGATTGAATGTATTAAAAAGAAAACATATATTAAAAATTACTTCACTGTACAGACAGGGCTTTCAATTAAACAATGATATCCAAAATTATTACCCTCTTTTCCCAACAGTGACCAATCTAGAATATGTGCTTTTGCAATCAAAAGTCATGCAGGTCTCTGAGCTGCATATTAACGCTACTGGGTATTTCCACAAAACACATAATTTCCTGATGTCAACTTCAAAACAAGATCAATCGAGCTCTACACACTTTTAGAATGTATCCTTTTACACTGAATAGTAAATTATTTTAGCCTAGTCTATATGTCTAAGCACCAGGTCTTAAAATTAAGCTCTTACCATATTCTCAGAGTTGCACTTTGCACCAAGTATTTGGAATCATTTTGCCTCCACATTCCGATAAGAAATACAGTCCATAGCTAGCAAATAGGGGTAATTAAAAGAAACATAAACCACATAATCACAGCTCTCTTAGCCATACCACTTAGATTTCAGATCTGGAATATGTTGTGTCAAATTCATAATTTGTCACATAATAATAAAGGATCACTCCATGCATTTATACTAAAAATCTTCTGGCACCTTCTCTGATAGTACAATGATTATGTCAACAATAAAAATAAAGCACAAAATAAAGGGGAAGGCATACAAATAAAGATTAAAAAATAAACTAAATGTAGAAATTATAAAACCCAAAAGGTTTCTGGATACTGGATAAAGAGTGAATAAACACAGAACAAGATTTGAATGGCTTTTCCAACAAGCAGCCCAACTGGAGGTAGAGAGCTGAAAGGGCAAAGAGGATGCAATTAGCAAGATCATGGGCAGGAACCGGTAGAGCGAAAAATGGTACTTCACAGAAACAGAGGTGAACAGAAATAGAGCTTAACTGTGCAGAACAAAAATGTGCCATCTGATCAGAATCCAGCAAAGATAAAGGTCTAGCAAAGGTTACAAAGGAAGAAATGTGACAAGGCGGCAGAATGAAGAACGAATGAATGTGACAAGAAGTCAGCTGATCGGAGCTAGCCCAGCCAGAGCCGCAGCCGGCACGCTTCAGCGACCGCGAGGGTCAACAGAGCTTCGGAAAATCAGAGGGGATAGCGCAGAGGCATCGCGATTCCCGACATATCGCGATTCCCGACATCTCCCCACCCCCGAAGCCCCAGCAGCCCACGTGGCAGGGTGCGTTCCCACGGTGACGGTGACCACCCCCCTGCCCCTTGCCTTGAAAGAGCCTCGGAGAGGGCAGGCACGCTGCCCACCGGGCGCAGGGAGGAACAAGCAGGTCGTGTTGCTGACCCTGTTGCTGCTGTCCCACACTGCTGACCAATATGGTCGCCTCCAGAAAGAGAGCTTGCAGTAAGAAGACTGAAGCAACTCAGACAGACACCCCGTCCCAAACCGTGCCTCTTCAGGTCTCTGGATGCAGGGAGTGCCAGAGCCTGCTGCTGCCGGGGGAGGGAGGACAGCATTCCACCTGTGTGAGGTGTGAGCAGGTAGAAGATCTGCTTAGCCTGGTGGCAAGACTTAAGGAGGAGGTTGAGACGCTGAGGACCATCAGGGAGTGTGAAAGGGAGATCGACTGGTGGAGTAACTCCCTGGCGTGCCAGTCGGAACGGTTCCAGGGAGATACCCCCCAAAAGGGGATGGACACCCTGCCCTCTCAGGCAGAGGGGGATGGCCCGAGACAGCCCCTGCCCCAGCTGATGCTCTCCATCATCTTTACCGAGTCTTGGGAAACGGGAGAGGTGCCCGAGGACTGGAGGAAAGCAAATGTCACTCCAGTCTTCAAAAGGCAAGGAGGACCCGGGTAACTACAGATCAGTCAGCCTCACCTCCATCCCTGGGAAAGTGATGGATCACCTTATCCTTGGTGCCATCTTAAGGCATATCAAGGATAAGAGGGTTATGAGGGGCAGTCAGCACGGCTTCACCAAGGGGAAGTCATGCTTGACCAATCTCATAGCCTTTTATGAGGAAATAACACGGTGGATGGATGATGGCAGAGCGGTGGATGTGGTCTACCTTGACTTCAGCAAAGCATTTGACACAGTCTCCCACAGCATCCTCACAGCTAAATTGAGGAAGTGTGGTCTGGATGATCAGGTAGTGAGGTGGACTGTGACCCGGCTAAAGGAGAGAAGCCAGAGAGCTGTAGTCAATGGGGCAGAGTCTAGTTGGAGGCCTGTATCTAGTGGAGTGCCTCAAGGGTCAGTACTGGGACCACTATTATTTAATATATTCATCAACGATTTAGACGAGGGAATTGAGTGTACTATCAGCAAGTTTGCTGATGACACTAAGCTGGGAGGAGTGGCTGACACGGCAGAAGGCTGTGCTGCCATCCAGCGAGACCTGGACAGGCTGGAGAGTTGGGCAGGGAATAACTGGATGGAATATAACAAGGGAAAGTGTAGAGTCCTGCATCTGGGCAGGAACAACCCCAGGTTCCAGTATAAGTTGGGAAACGACCTGGTAGAGAGCAGTGTAGGGGAGAGGGACCTGGGGGTCCTAGTGGACGACAGGATGACCATGAGCCAACACTGTGCCCTTGTGGCCAAGAAGGCCAATGGCATCCTGGGGTGTATTAGAAGGGCGGTGGTTAGTAGGTCGAGAGAGGTCCTCCTTCCCCTCTACTCTGCCCTGGTGAGACCGCATCTGGAATATTGTGTCCAGTTCTGGGCCCCTCAGTTCAAGAAGGACAGGGACCTGCTGGAGAGAGTCCAGCGCAGGGCATGGGCTAAGATGATTAAGGGAGTGGAGTATCTCCCTTATGAGGAAAGACTGAGGGAGCTGGGTCTCTATAGTTTGGAGGAGACTGAGGGGTGACCTTATAAGTGTATATAAATATATAAAGGGGGAGTGTCACGAGGATGGAGCCAGGCTCTACTCAGTGGCAAACAATGATAGGACAAGGGGTAATGGGTACAAACTGGAACACAAGAGGTTCCACTTAAACTTGAGAAGAAACTTCTTCTCAGTGAGGGTGACAGAACACTGGAACAGGCTGCCCAGGAGTCTCCCTCCCTGGAGACATTCAAAACCCGCCTGGACACATTCCTGTGTAACATTATCTAGGTGTTCCTGCTCCGGCAGGGGGATTGGACTAGATGATCTTTTGAGGTCCCTTCCAATCTCTAGCATACTGTGATACTGTGAATTCTGCTAACCTAGAGGAAGAGCAGCAGCACTGGGAGCTAGGGAAGAGGAAGCAAGAGCTTGCAGTCTCATGATGACTCGTGGCAGTTTCGTGATCATGGCATCAAACCGTGATACAAGAGAACTGGATTTATCCTGGAATAAACTGATTCTAATTTTGGATCCTCCTGAAACTGAACTGGATTCTCCTGGAAATTGCTTCCTTGGGAATGGCTCAGTGAGCCAAGACTGACCTTGTGATCATCCTCCTGCAAGTCCTCACTTGTCAAGTCCTTACGTAAAATAAGCCTAACAGACCAAACATGCCCCCAGAAAAACAAACAACAAAACATTCCAGATATGCTTTTCCTCAGCAAAGTTTCCAATACACTACAATGATACAACAATGACCTAGTTTTTGAGTAAGACAAAAGCCCCCCAAAATAGTAATATCTGACTTTTCAGCTCTTCCCTCAGAAAGCTAACGCATCATTAGCAACACAGCTGAAGTTTCCCTTTTCAGACAATTAGTTTCAAGCAAGCTGAGTCCCTTTAATCAGTGTATGACCCCTGAATGGTCCAGACATTACAGCAGATTTTGTCACTGATACCAAAACCATTTCATTTTTAAAACTTAAAAGATTTGGGTTTTTTTCTTTCTATTAGAGAAACACTTTCTGAATCCTGTTAGGAACCATGTTCTACACTCAGTTAAAGCGAAGCACTATTTAAATCAATTCGGTTCAAAACAAGTGCTTCGCTGAAAAATGACAAACAGAAAATGAGCGTAAGCATGGGAGCTTACACAATTGTTGGTGAAAAAGTATTACAGATAGTGCATGCGTGCAGTTGGTAGAAACCACCAAAAAAAAACATAAAAAAAGACTGAATTGACAACTAGGATTCCTATATTGTTCAGCACTTTAGATGAAAGCTGTAAGGCAAACCTAAACTTCCTCCTCAGTTCAGGAATACCGATTACTAGTTGAAACCATGCTCACTGTTCAATGCGCACTACAGATTCCTACTAGTATTCATGACATCTAGACTAGCTGTGAAAAAGGCTGGGACACGGTAGGAGGGATGGGAAGAGTAGTGAACAAGAAAAACAATATGAGTAACAGGCAGTGACAGCAGAAATACAAAGCTACTTTGGAGCATTAGCACCTAAAATAAGCGGCCTTCCTTGAGCACTGCAACTAGGCATCCATGTTTGTGAGTACTACTTTATGGGTACAGAGCAGGACACCTTAGGCTTAATCCTGAGACAAAAAAAGCAGAAAAAGTTATTTCTCCATGAGCAGCATGTACTGGGTAGAGAAATGCTGACATGAAACAGCAATTGTGACTACTACTTAAAACCTTTCATTTTAAGAAAATTATGTTCAAGTGTCAGCTTTAGAGTATTATTGGCAAAAGAGATGGTTGTCAAATAATTGGTCTCACCTACTAAAGAAAGTGAGATCAAAATATAAATACAAGGTTAGATTCATTCATTTGTGAAAGTCAAAACACCAAATCATTGAAGCAAAGCTTTGGGTTTACTAGCCTCCAGAAAAATAAATAACCAAACATGTACTTATTTAAATAAGCAGGCCCCAACAACGTGTAGCAGCAAACATTTTATGTATGTTCTGCACATACTTACAGGTTGAGCAGACCAATAGCGCTCTCACCGCAAGTTCAGTGAGTAACTGCCACTTCTGCTCCACTTTGGAGGTGACAGCTGGAATGAGAATCTCCGCAGGGACGTAGTACTGAATCGAATAGGTCACAAAAATCCCAAAGGAGTACAGAATTTTTACAGACTGATACAACCTGTTGAAAACATTTACATATGTTCATGTAAGCTTTGAACACTTCACTAAAAAATGAGCTTCCTAATGGTACTTAGGCTATAAATATATATATAAATACATATTTTTCCTTGCAGCAAACACGAAGATAACATTACCTGCTTGCAAGTTCTAATATGAATATATTCACTTGAATATATGAAATTGCAGAAGATAGGCTGACCAACAAAACATGGACCAGAACAAATATTAATGCAATCATAAATGAATAAACTTAAAGAAGAACATGTTAAACAGCCAGCAGTTATTTGGGAAATTTCCAAATTCGTATCAAATAAAATCTGTACACATTTCGTAGTGGTGGTAACTACTGGACATTTTAAAGACTGATATTGATAGCCTGCAGAATTCCACATGTCCACAAAGTGTTCCTAAAAAGATTTTTCACACTGGGAAGAGTGCACCTCAGGAAACTCTATTTGTTAAAATTGGAAGGAGTACCTGGTACAGCTAGAAATCACCCACAGCCATATTTGCTTTTGCTGTCTACACTCTCCTCTTCAAAACCACTAGGTACAGGACACCATTAAATTACTGTGTCATGTCATAATATTTCATAGGGTTTATAGCAATAGAAAGGAGTACCAAGGTGCAAATTGTGCCAAATTGGTGGACTGGCAGGATATAAAGAAATTGGAAAAAGAATATAGAAGGGAGCTCCTTCTGATGCAGCAATGTCTTTCCTACCATACAGAACTAGAGCTGCTGTAACAAGACAAATGTTTTGGGGATGGAGATTTATTTTTTAAGATACTGCCTATTTTCTTGCAAAGCTGCCTTAGGATGGCTTTAAATTCTGTGCCATACAGACAAGCTGCTCTCTTGCACCACTTTAAGAACTCAGTTACATAAAAAGCAAAATCATCTCTACAGACACTGGTAAAAGGCACAAGCTGCAGTTTAAGAAGACGTAAGTGTTTCTATTCTCATTCATCTCTTTCCATTCTAGGGGTACTGCACCCTGTATATCATCCGATTATACATAAAAATGTTCAGAAGAAGCATACTGCTCAGAAAACATAGTGGACAGTTTCTTTATAACAGTATAAAGCTCCATTACATTTAACTTCTTTCTGCCTAAATTGGTTTAAAATACTTTTGATGGTTCCAAAAATATTAAGTGACTTCAGATCATCAGGCTTTAATCTTTACAGGGTTTTTTCAGATCTGTGCAGAATCAGAAAACCCCATCCTTGGAGTAAAGGAAAAGATTATGATTATTTATCAGAAAAAACGTGTCATATCAAAGATGAAGACAAAAGAAATCAAGGAAAAAGGTTCACATCTACCCTGATGTAAAATGTACCCCAGTAAGACATACAATAAAAGCATCTGTGAGGCTCAGACACAGAATAAGGAAAGCATTTTAAAAAAACGCCTGCAACAGTTGGCAGCCTAAATTGTGCATCTTGCCTCTCTATGTATGTTGGAAAATAACCCATATATAGAATCACAGAATGGTTTAGGTTGGAAGGGACCTTAAAGATCATTCAGTTCCAACCCCCTGCCATGGGCAGGGACACCTTCCAGTAGAGCAGGTTGCTCCAAGCCCCATCCAACCCAGCTTTGAAAATTTCCAGGGATGGTGCCCAGCTTTTCTGGGCAACCTGTGCCCCTCATCATCCCCGCAGTGAAGAACTTCTGAACATCTAATCTAAGTCTGCCTTCCTACAGTTTAAAGCTATTCCCCCTTGTCCTATCACTACATGCCCTTGTGATCAGCAAAAACAAGCTGAAAACTAATCTTTTCATGAAGTCCCTTTTCAACATATTCTAATTAATATATTCTGTTGAGTGACAATTTGCATTCCAAAAGACAATCTAAACTAGAACTGCAACAAGTATCTTCTCAGAAAGCTCTAAGCTAGCAGAATGTTTTTAAGAATATGAGAAGTCCTCTATTTAAATTAAACTCAAGGACTTCACTGGTCTAGGGTCTGTGCATGCCTTCTGGTCAATTCATATGCAAGAACATCAAATACAACTGAAAGTCACAGGATTTAAATTTTCTTCAGTGGGAAAGGCTTATTTTTAAGACAGGGACTGTCCAGCTGGAATTAAACACATAAGCCAATCTCACTGCTTAGCTACATTGCAGGCTTTTTGCCATGACCACTTTCTTCTTAAAACTTGCCTATTACTTGCATTTCTCTGGTTAAATTCAGACACTCCTGGCTTTTTATGTGAGGATGAGGTAACAAAATATTGTCATATGGTTCACTGGAAACCTGTTTTGCTAGCACAGCTAATTGCACACATTTGCTCATCAGTACTCTACCAGGGAGACCCACAGTACTGCACAGCAATAGCATCATACATCACAACCCATTGGCATACCACTTAGGTGCTTTTCCTCCTAATTTTGTTTGGTGCTCTGGGCAACTATCCAGGGTAAGACAAAAAACAGATGATTTTGTTATCTCTACATATGTGCCCTGAGTGGCTCTGAGGTTATTAAACTTAAAATGCCAATTCCCCACCTACAGAGCATCAGTTTCCATCTCTATAATCTCTTTCTTTGCATTAGGCCTGTAAAGCCATGAGGATAAATATCTCATCATCACATCTGCCCTGTAGCCAAGAGCTATTTGGAAACTTATATCTGAACAGCCCAGTTAGACTGCAGAATAAAGCAGATTATTATAGCAGAATAAAGTTCATTCTGTTGCTTGCATGAGCACAATAAAAAGCAACAGTGAGTACTAACCTCACCTTACTCCACATTCCTCTAAATCCTTTTCTAAAAGCACTTCTCTTAAGGCACAAATAAACATAGAGCTACCACTTAAAACAAACTTTTCACTACTCATATCAACCACGAGCACTAGTCAGCATTCAGTTCAGCAAAGCAGGTTTTGATTCACATTATTTGAGTGAATACTTCACAATGCTACAAGAAGCATCAAACAGCAAGATGCAAGCATGTAACCTGGAAGACATTACTTGATCAGGATGAAAACATTGAAATACTTTTCAGCTTTCACACTTGTGCACTGCTGATATACCTAATTTTAGGCCAGACATAAAAGGACTAAAAACATTAAGTTATATTTAAGTTAATAGTTACAGTATATACCCATCCATAGATAGATACAGAACTAACAATGAACCAGTTGAAATAGTCTTCAGTGATTCTTCAGCATGTGGGATTCTCATATCATTAAAAAAAGCTAAATAAAAATTATAATATCTCTGAAACATGGCATAGAACCATAGAATCAACTAAGTTGGAAAAGACCTTTAAGATCATCAAGTCCAACCTTTACCCCAGGACTGCCAAGTCCATCACTAAACCATGACACTAAGGGTAGACTGTTTTTTTAAGAGTTCCAGGGACAGTGATTCCACCACTTCCCTGGGAAAAGCATAAGCTTCATTTTCCTGATAGGAAGTCATTATTATACACTCTTCATGTACTTGCATGTGAACTATGAATCTATTCAGTTTTTGATGTCTTCTATTCCAGTAGTTTACCTGCTAAACTCAGTGATTCCACTAAAGAAGGCCACTATATTACAAGGATATCTAAGATAAAAATAGCTGGTTTCAGAACTGCAATATGGCTGATTACATATATATATTCCCTCTTTCAACACACCTGGAACTAGCTCCTTCTAGAGATGGAATACATTACTATAAAGATCATTCACCTGTTTCTGTATGCAATTCCTTTTAATATGCAAGCAATTGCTGGCTAGGATCATAGCTCAACTGTGGAAGGCACAAAGACAGTATATATAGTACAATTTTAAGAGTTGGAGCACATATCAGTTATAAACACGACAGCACTGAAGCATGCAACAACCTTTACAAGGTTTTTGCCTTGTGGATTACTGGTTTTAAGTAATGTATGCACTTACCATATGTCTTGTGGCAGGTTTAAAGTTATGCTGCCTTTGATTTCATCCCCAAAGCGCAGATACCCCAGAGTGGCCAGTGAGATATACAAGGTCATGACTATTCCCATGCCAATGTTTAATGCCTGTGGGAAACGTGTGGTGTCCTTCATTCTATTTTCTAATGGAAGTACCTGGAAATAAAAGGAGAATCAATTACATCAATTACCTACAGTAAAACTACTTTTCTCCCCCCTTTCAAAGCAGATTTCCAAAATGTAGATGATTTTATTAACAAGTAAGATTACTCTACAATAATGTTTTACAGCCTGGAAGATCACAATGGTTTATGTAGCCTATAGAAATGTTCAGTTATTGAAAAACACCCATCTTGGCTGGAAAATAGCAATGGTGTGAGAACATAAAGCAGTATTTATAGGTTAGAAAAAACTAACACGAGAAACTTAGGGTGTCCAGATTAAAATATACAGGCAATGAATAACATCAGTATTTAGTAACAGAACAGAATCCAAGGGTAATTCTATTTTCATTAGGTATGTCTGCACTGCCAGTCTCCATCACAAACAAACCTACCATGCACATGGCTGACACACAACCTCATGCTGAGCAGTCAGCCTCAGCTCTCCCAGCAGCAAAGCTTGACTCTGTGACTACCAGAATACAGACCCACACACTCTTCCATTCTTCTGACAGAAACAGGGCAAGGCACACTAAGCACTGCTTTTTAATAAATGTAGTGTTGGGTGCTCTGCTCCTGAATTATAGCCAAGTGACCTTGCTGGGCTTGCCATCGTTTCAATATGAATACACAAGCATTATAACCATTTCTCCATGCAGTTTGCTAGAGGGACTGGCTTTTACATGCACTATATGGCATACACAAAAATACCCCTACTAAGTTCTTGAAAACACTTAAAAACTTAAAGTTTTTAGCTCCCAATAAAAAATTTCCAGGCAACACAGGAAAACCAAGAAATAAACTGCTCTTCCCAGCTTGAATTTTATCAGGATAACAGATCCTCTTACATCTTCATTAAAACACAAACTGAAAGTACGTGGATGCTCCTAGACAAGAATGCTCCTAGACAAGAATACTTTATCTAGGGAAAATACTACTAATACCTCTCTATCAGGCTGCCCAGAGAAGCTGTGGATGCCCCATCCCTGGAATTGTTTCAAGGCCAGGTTGGATGGGCTTGGAGCAACCTGGTCTAGTGGAAGGTGTCCCTGCCCATGGCAGGGGGTTGGAACTGGATGAGCTTTAAGGTCCCTTCCAACCCAAACCAGTCTGGGATTCTGTGATCTCATCCAGGAGAAATCACTCAGCTCAGATACTCAATAGCTCCTCATAGGCAGCATACAACTACTGTTCTATTCTGTCCGTAACAGCTGTTTATATTTTATTTTTTCATTCTTAATCCTTTTACATTCTAACAAACTTTCTTGCAAGCAGACAACATTATCATACAATTATCTATCCGAAACTTAGTTCATAAAGGAAAACAGAGGCCAAGTGATGCATATTATGTTCAATGCGTTTGTGTCCAGAGGAAGCATTTGAATATATTTTTTAATTATTATTATTTTTGCCAGTACTACTATTTTTTATCTTTTGCATTTAAAACCAGTCAGTCTGGAGGCCCATGTTTCACCATGAAAACAAAGACTTAATTAAAAAAAATTAAAAAGCCATTAAAAAACTTTTCAGGACAATCCTCCTATGCACACTAACCCTCGCTTTTTAACTATCCATTAAATCAAGCTCAGTCATTAAAATCAGTGATGCTGGATGTCATTCTAAGCAACCTGATCTAGTTGAAGATGTCCCTGCTCATTGCAGGGGAAGTTGGACTAGATGACCTTTGAAGGTCCCTTTCAACTCAAACTACTCTATGATTCTATGTCACTTCATGCACACTAATGAGTAGGTCAAAACAAAACTTACCACATCTAAACACATGTTCCTGCACCAACACCCTCACCTGAACATTACAACCTTCATTTATAGTAAATTTAAGAAAAAGATATGCAAAAAGAAATAGTACTGTCAGTAGCCTCCAGAACAGATGAGGATGTTCATGCAGCCTTTCCCACATAGACAAGGCAACAGCATCCCTTCCCAGACCCAGCAGCAAGCCTTCCCAGGTTCAAGGACTCTCTCTGAGTAGCAGTAGGCTTTTGAGTCAGTTGCTGTCACGGCAGGAGATGCTTCCCTTGGCAGCACTAATCCCCAAAGAAATTATGCAAAGACCTTGAGTCGGGTTTTATACGGTATCCAGTATAATGTATTTCAGACAAGCTGAAAAGTTGTGTACCTCACAGGATTAACATGAAGCCAAATAACAACTAATTACACATATATTGCACAAACTCCCTGTCCCTTAAGCTGTTAATTACCATCAGGATGCAAAAGATCCTTGAAGTGTTCGTAAGGAGACAGAGGCTGACAGGAGGCGCAACATGAGCCAGTGCTTTTTCTGACACTGCCACTGTTGGGCAGCTGCTGGTTAGATTTTTCACTCTACATTTCTCTCTTGTCCCTTTTGCAACAACTTCAGAAAACCTAACATTTTAACTGAATGCCAAAAACATGAGGTTCTTTTCATGAATGCTTTTGAGTTTGGGTCTTATTGCTTCTTTTTTGGAACCCTGAAGTTGAACAGGCTTTCTTGTTTTTTCTTCTGAAGCCAGAAATTAATTTCACTCTTCAATTCTTTTAAAAGGTTTTCTGAAAAAGTTAACACCCTACCTAGATGACTGCATAGCTTTGAAAGAAAATAACCCCACACATCTGATTCTCTCTGTCCAGTACATTATAACATCTTCTCTCCAAAAGGATGTTGCATCAATTGAGTATCGCACACTAAGGCTTCAACGTTGTTCTACACTTGTTCAAATGACAATTTCTGCTGTAACAGGCAGTAACATTAAGCTAGTCCAGTAACTCCCACACTCTTCAGACCTATAACCTGTTACCACGTATGCAACCACTGCAGAACCTAATGATGAGAAATACTATGGTCAGGGAAAACTTTGGGGAATAGTCTTCTCTCCCCAGCAAGGTCACCAAGGGCAGAATGCTGGAGAGGAGAGAACCATGACATAAGTTTCAGTTTCAAAGATTTTTTTTAATGGGTCTTTTCCCTGCTTCCAACTTCCATGCTTTCACTTCCTTCATGCTCTTTCTCCCACAGTTCACACTAGTCACATCACAGCCCTAACCACCTATAAAATCAGATATTTTAGACAATACCAATCCTTTTCATAATTCCTTTTTTCCCCTCATTTTTCTCTCTCCTCAACTGAATAAATTCTACATCTTTTTTTTTCTCTGTCACCTGCTTCAGAGAGATCTTCCTGTTGTTTCTGAGACACTGGCACATGTCACTACTATCACCTTCCTTGAAACTTCATACTTGATCCCTTCAGTAATTATGTACATTTGAGTTCTTAATTTCCAAAACAGGCATAATACATCTTTTTTTTCATTCATCAGATAAACTCAAACATACCCATCATTTACTGACAAAGAAGTATAACTGCATCTTTGAAATAGCCTGGCTAATCTACCATCACCCATTAGGCAAAGTATCCTCCCTTTAATTCCAAGCTGCATGCAGTAGGTATAAACATGCCCCAGTAATACCACTGTCTCCTCATTCCTTCCCTTGAATATCCTGCTACACTCCCTTCCTACAACTAGGCTAAAGGTGGCTGTCTGCTTCTCATCAGAAATCTCTACTGTACATTTTATACTACTGGATCAAAAAAACCCCACAGGAGAATTAAGCCTACAGATAATCAGATAAACTGATTTAATTGTCATGGCCACTAAAACCTAATCTTGTAATGGATAATTTAAAAGCAGACATGCTTAATGTTTACACATAGATGGTCATCTTTCCCTTTTTTAGGAAATATCACTAAAATGGCAAAAAAGAAGCAATCCTCCATCTCTTACACTTTTAAAGTAAGTACTTCATGTAGGAGAGAGCTATACAGATGTTTGTTTAGTGCATGGTACAGACAACACAAGAACTTTGGAAAATTAAAACCAATATATTTATCAATATTTACTCAGAAAAAAAAAATGTATCCAACTAGAATCATGTCCTACTGCAACAAAACAAAGTTTGTTCATTCAAAGCAAAAAAAACTGAGGAAACTGGTATCAAAGGATGGAATTCAAGGTATGTAAACATAAATTCTACTACATAACGCCCAAAGGCAGAAGACTGAACCCTCAGCGAAACAATGTAGCCCCAGCCTGGCCCATTCCTTCTTGCTGCAGAAGTCACTAATGAATTCATCTGTTCACTGAAAGGTGGATCTACAGCCCTACAGTGTACTAGAGAGCTGCCTAAAGACAAAGTGTGGTTTCTCCAAGTAAAATGATCATAACATATATTATTATTACATTGCTATATTTTGCTTGCCTGTCCTTGACAGCTACTCTGTCACTGTACAGAAGAAAGTCTCACACATTGTTTTGAGCAACAAGCTTTCATTCCATCACTTTTAGATGCATTTTTAAAGCTCACTCGCTTGAGGAAGATATAGAACATCACTATTTTGCACAAGTGCAATAAAAAAAATCTAATTTTCCTTAACAGATCCCCCATGACTGCAAATAAATGGGTGGCTACTATTACTCACAGAAAGATGCAAGCCGAATGGTAACTGTAGATCTATTTTTGCAACAAAAGGTTTCTACCAAAAAAATAAATCCAGAAGCCAAGTTCTCCTTACAGAACACCACCTTCTGAAATCTGCTGAGCAATTCCAATCACTCCAAAAAGCAATCTTCTCAGATTCTTCCTACCTGCCTCTTACTGACACAACATTTAAGGTTCACATTTACCATGTATATTTAAGAGTAGGTCGTTTCCACGGTCATTAAATCCAGTCACCTACCCTTGCCTGTCCAAATGCAAAAACATCCTCTGAGAACTCCTATCATTCATATTTTGAGGGTACAAGCCTTTGCACCATCTCAAAGGAGCATCAATGAAACCGATACATCCCAGTTTAGAGATGGCCCAAGTACATTTAGATGATGTCATCTTACCCATTAAATGTCTGTTCCTGACAAATCTAGTCTGGTCTTAAAGCAACAGAAGAACACCACTGGGTTTCATTATTTTTTTTAAAGGATAATACTAATCTGGGCAGAAGAACTTTTGATAATGAGAGGCTTTTATCTCAGAGGCACAGGCCTCACAGCCTCATCTGCATCACTTTCAAAATCCAAATAATGATGTTTTAAAATTATAATCCACTTAACGTTCTCTTCTCTAAATCTCCTGGAATTGGTTAGCTGCTGCCTAATGTGATTCCAGAGCCTGTCTTTCCATATACAAATACCACCCCACCTTCTACTGCAAAGCTGTGATATCCAAGTTCAAAAGCAATTTGAATAGACATCTTTTAGTCATAGGCTAAAATACCAGAAGCCTTATTTTCCAAACCTGAAATTAATATTAAAAAGAAACAATTTCTCTTCCCTAATCAGTCTGCAGCACTCAACAGGAAAAAAGCCCACAAACATACTCAACTGTACAAACCGCACTTCACTTACATTTGTATGTAACAGAGAAGAAAAAGTATCTTTCTGTTTTAAAATGTTATGAACCTGTTTCATCCTCCATCCTTCTGATGCTCACATTAGAATATCACTTCCACATTTGGATTTGGTTTTCATACCTCTAACGAGAAAGCCAACCAGGCTTTCACCAAACATTCATTAGGTGTAACTGTTATTATACAAGTTTAACATTATGCGAAGCTATTACCTGCATTTTCTGTTGCTACTACTGTTCCACAGACTTTATTGATGCCACTAGTTTCACAAGGAAACCATGATGGTCTTAAAATCTTAACTTACAAGTGTTGAAATCTTAACTTACAAGTGTTGAAATCCCAAACCAGCTCTCAACACTGATAACCACCAGATTGACAGTACAGAGCTCTCAGATTTGCTCACTCAATATTAAGGGATCATGGGGTACCCGTGCTGCCAACTCCTCCTGTTAGCACATAATGATGATCACCACCTGCTTGCCGAGGCATTCAAAATTTGCAGCAGGTACCTTACCTCAATAAGCAGTGACCCCATTTTTACAGACAACTCAAATAGGGAGCAAAGAGATGAACAGCACAAGCAACAGACTGCAGCACTTTTTAATCCTGTTACAAGTACACAGTTGAGCATGCATTAACCTTATTTCTGCTGTAGCAGTTGTAGCAACAAATGAGCAACCTGTCTGGGCTTTAGCAAAATAACAAATTGTCCAAATCTGCCATCAAATAAGAGTTTAGGTTGATCTCCCAGGCAGGTAAGAACATCTTAATTCATCATATTAATATCATCAATTCATCACTGTAATTATGCCAAAGCAACGATACTTCAAATTACTCCCATACTGCTGATTTTCTTATTACACAGGGACAGCTAATCAGTTCTAAACTAATGACAGATTTTAACCAAAACCCATGTTTGTACACTCACTGTCTAAAAGAGAAATACAATCAAGATCAAGAAGAAAATCCTACTAGGAACCTGCTGAATCACTGCACCTTCCTGAATCACTTTCCCCATAGTGAACAGGACTTTTGACTCCTCCATTTAATTAGTCTCACTCATTTTAATAGTTACTGAAGAACTACAGTCATACTTTAAATAAGGACAAGTGCTAAACTAAAAGAAACAAAAAAAAAAACAATATATAAAAAGCTTTTGGGAACAATGGGATGAAAAAGAACCAGTGCTAGAGTATTTCCCCTGCAGTCTCTTATTTGGTTCAAAGAAACCAGACAAACACATTTCCATACTCACCATGGGATTATGAACTGACAATTATTTTCTGTCTAGATTAGCCACTCCCCTGTTAATAAAAAACAAAAGCAACTACGTGTCTTTGAAAATAAATCCTCCCAACTGCTGTGGTTAAGGTGCACTGTTTTATACTGTGCCTTGTAGATAATTTAGTGCTCTTCTTGAACAGACCATTAAACACTCCTAGCAGGAAAGACCATTTTACACAGAACAATGGTGGAAGAAAAACCACATCGAGGGCATTTTTCTTCTCTTGTCAGATTCTGTTTAAGATGATTTAACCAGCCCAAAAACCTCAGAATTTCATTTGCTGTCCCCATTCATACATTCAGTAATCTGGCAGCTCTCAGATGAGAATTAGCATAATGTATGTTTGGAATCAAGGACAAGGAAAAATGAGGCTTCATAACTGTTTAAGGCCAACTTACTGCATAAAATGTAACAACCACAATCAACTTTTCTGATCAAATTGAAACCACAAGGCTTCTGTTTATAATGTGATGTCCAGGTAGCTTCACATTAATAGTGCTGTTTCCAAGACATTCCAGAATAAAATCTAGAATCAAGTCTCTAACAAAAATACTAAGATCAGGTAAATCCATCTTGAGTCCTTGCAGGCAGAGAGCAGACTAAGAAGCCAATATAACTAAACGGTAAGGGTTTTTTCATTACCAGATAATTCAACCACACGGACATAAGAATGACAATAAACAAGACACAGGGTAACAAACTGTAACACATCCGATACACAACAGCAACTGACTACACGAGTATTCTCAATCCATTGTAATGTGGGTTAAAACACATTTGCTTACATCTCTGGAAGAATTTTAAACTAATCTTGTTTCACTTCACATTTGCAAGAGGTCACAAACATGTATACAGAGAGATCACAGCTCAGTCTATGATGGCAACTTACTGAGCTGTAATAACTGGTTATTATATCAATCACAGAGAACTGTATGAAATATTAACTATGTGAAGTGGCAGCAGCGTCCGCCTCTCTTTGCTTCACTCATCTTTTTTTACTTCATGCTTCAACAACTTTGCTCAGTTCTGATTATTCAGATCCATAAAATCTTTTTTTTGTCAAATCTTCCCTCTGGTGCACACAACTACAGCATAAGAATGCACAGCAAACACTCTGCTTCTCAGGGATATTTTGGACATGCAGAGAAATATGAATATCATCCTGCATATAAGGAAGAAATATTAAGTAGTTCTTCAAAGGTTTACATTGGAAGTCAATGTTACTACTGCTGTACTAGGATTAGTTCCCCCCCCAGGGTGGGTTCTAATGTGCCAGAAAATAATTACTATAAATCAATTCTCCACCTATAATGTAATAAACTACCACTACCAAGTGGTAAGCCTTCCATGCTTTCCTGAGACCCACAGGAGCCTCATTTAGGATTTCCTGGCTACAACCCACACCTCTGTGCTATAAGCGTATCTGATACAACTGGAATACGTATCAAGACCTATGGTACATGACTTGCATTTGACCACATATAGTAAGTGTAGTCTGTCCCAGATGGACTGTACAATTTTAGAGAAATAACCTTAGTATAGTCCAATCTGCCTGATTCACTGCGCATGGGATTTTTGCCCAGTAGGCATCAATCAAAATGAGGAAAATTAATGATTTCCTATGATGGAACTTCCAGATGACAAAAGGAAAGATGTCTGGATACACTCAGATATATGGTAGCTAAACTGCTGCATCAGTCAGTTCACAGTTTGAAAACAAGTCAAGAACAGTTTGAGAAACAGACTCAACAGTCATTAGATCCAAATATCCTGTGTGTGAAAACACACTGTTGCAACATAGTAAGAGTTAAAGGGTTTTCCTATTTAGCTCTTCTGGCAGTGATATTGCAACACCAAGATAAAATATTCTGGTTTAAGTCAGAGCTGATAATTCCAAAAAGAAAAGAGATTTGAAAACTCTTCTGTGTTATGTCAGTGATAGACCATCATTTCAGATTAACCACATGCTGGCTTGGGGTTGGTCTGGGTTTGGTTTTTTGTTTTGTTTTGGAGGGGCAGGAAAGGGCTGTTTATTTGGGCTTTAATCATACAGTAACACTTGCTGAAGCGTGTAATTGTATTAGTAACAAATAAAGTGTATAGAGTAATTTCCTAACAGTTCAAAGACATTATGACCTACCATTCCCAGTAGCCTCTTCAGCTATTTTTTAAAACATGACGTGAAACAAATGCCAACTAACTTGCAAACTTTGCTAGTGTGAGATGTAAGCACGAAGCCCTTAGAAACAGCAGAGGCTGAAAATTATCTACTTTCAAAAAACAAGCTTTCAAAGTGATGAATCTATTTAATCCACATCTTTCAGGAAACGATGAGGAACTGAGGTTCATTGTCAGAAGGACATGAATTGGAAAAAAATTCTATTCTTTTTCTCATCATCTCCATCTCTGTCAAGTCATATTTACAGACAAGTCTGAAGCAGGAAGAATAATGCATTTCTAATAAATCACTTTGTCTTCTGTGATCCCACAGGAAAAGAAGGATGCTAAATAAGTTTCTGTTTTTACACTCTCATCACCTAAAACTGAGCTGCTGAATCACTGTAATTATAGTATCATCATATTATTAGCTGGGTATTGTATTATTATCTAGCATATGATGATACTAGTTATGATTACACTATTGTCTCAATCTGCTTGGAACTAAAGGCATTCTTGTAATTTGGGAAGGCGCCAAAAGTCCAAGTAGCAATCAGTATTCACCAAACTCCCTGTGACGGGGATGTTATGTCCTCAACTTTTGCCTGATTTGATAAGATAAATTAACCCTTTTCATATCAGTGCTTCAACAAAAACAACAAAAAAAACAGCAGGAGTAAACTGTCTGTATCCCATCATCTAACATAGATTGAGATATTCTGAAGAGTCAGTAAAAAGCACTTACCACACCGATTCCTTCAAAAGCAAATATTGCAGTCCCAAAAAACAGTGGGTATTTCTTCCAGCCAACCACAGGAGGCAGTTTTTGTGGATCTATTATATCCTGAAGAAAACAATGCAAAACAGTGCTATGTAAAGTGCATTATCTGATCCTACAATTTTGATTGAAACATTACCCTATAGCAAAGAAAACTCAGCACATGCTGAGTGGTGCATACATGGCATTTTACAATCCCAAACTCAGTCCTTTATACACATTTATAGCTGCCTCCCCACCCACACAGACACTTGCACATATATTTAATCTACATTCATACTAGTGACACTAGAAATCACGCATTTAAAGTATCACACTAGCATGTATGAGTGAATATCAATTAAAACAAAAAGGAAAGCTCACACCTCAAGCTTAATCTTCTGAAAACTTCTCATAGTATTGCTTTCATACTGCAGTTATTCTCACAACCGTAAGCAACAGCAAAAGAAAATCTTTTAAATACAAGCTGAGCTTCTGCAGACCAATTAATTCCAGAGTAATTAATTCTCTGCTTCCCACTCATCTCATAACACTCACATGATAGCTTTCTCAAGCAATACTGTCACTCAGCACTTATCTACACTGTGCATGCAACAGCATCTTATCACTTTTCAAAAATCCTAAGAAATAAAAAGGTAAAGGTTTTTACATGTGATTTTTTTTCCAACCATTGGTTTAATTTGTTCCATTATGAAATGCCTCCAAATACGAAAAACCAGCAGCAATCCAGACTATGCAGGAACTATTCAACTTCCCAGGAGATGGAAGTCTGCAAAATGCATTCCTAAAGGGTAAGTCTTAATTTTTTTCTAACTGTACTGGAGAAATACTAGAAATAAACACTGCTGCTGAAATTGTTCTTCTGTTGCAACAGAAAGATTGACCACAGATTAAAACCTTGACAGTTCTGTATGCAGCCCATAAAAACCCACATATTCTTTTCCCCAAGGACTCCAATTTGTTACGATACATATTTTTTCTGAAGTGCATCAATATTATCCTGTCTTTCAAAAGTACTGTAGAACTCTGTGCTTAAAGCATGTCAAGTAATAGGGCACCTGTTCAAATTAAATACAAGATAATTCCACCTTTCAGAAATTGTTAGTCAGTATCGTATCTATCAGAGACCAACTGCCACATGCAACAAATACAATCTGCCACACTGAAAACAAAAGACAATAAATGTTTTTATACTCACTCTAACAATATACTGGTAAATGATCACCAGGCTGACAGCCATGGATAGATTGGCAAGCAGTGAAAGCATGGACAGGCTCTTCAGGTCACGAATAAAGACCAGGAGGATCAAGAATGGCAGGAAACACAGCATGTATATTCGTAAATCAGTACTCCTTTTCTCAGAAGGACTGCTGGTGGCACTGACATTTATGGGAGCTGTCTTGTTTTCCAAGAATCCTTCATGGACCTGTACAAATTAAACAAAAGATGATGATTCCAAATGGAAACAAGAGGAAAATTTTTCCCAAAGAGAACAATTATCCATTGGAATTATCTCCCCAGGGAAGCGGTAGACTCCCTGGTGTTGAACACTTTCAAGATCTGGCTAGACAGGGTGCCGAGACATCTCGTCTAGGTCATGCTTTGCCAAGAAAGCAAGCAGACCATATGATCCTTGAGGAACCTTCCAACCTGATTTCCATGATTCTATGTTATCAAACAGTGCTATCAGTGAGTATACGGTCACTCTGCTAACGCATCACTGAACATGGCAGTCACACTGGGCCAAGAACAGCAGCCAAAGTAGAGAAAGAAGGACAGGCTGGAGATACAGTTGGTAATCAAGGTATCATTGGCACTTGAGACTTGCATGACGCAAAGGGCCTTAGTTGATAATGGAAAACCAACTGTATGTAAATCAAGTCATTCAAGTTGGCACATTTGCCAAAACTCAGATTTTACAAGTCTAGGAGAAAAAAAATACATAAAAATACATAAAAATACACTACTGATTTTACTTTCATTGTTTCAAACAATCCACAAACTCAGGAAGACAGAATTAACTTAAAATTCTGTCATCTGGAACAAAAAGCACTAGATAGATATTTTTTTCATTATGAAAAAGGGAAAGGTAAAAGATGTGATTCTGCAACCACATTTTCCAGAAATCTCACTCTAAAATGAAAACAGAGGACACCAGTCATCATGGAAACACTGACTGTTTCCACCTTGCAAGAACCTTAAGTGTCACTTACAAGACACTTACCTTCTGTTAGTTTTCAATAAGAAAGCTACAAAGAGCTAAATACATTTTGATCTGAATTCCAGTGAATTCACACAGCTACAATAACTCTACTTTCCCAAGCAACATGTCAAACACTCAACCAAATTACTTCCCTAATGCCACATGAAGTAAAACTCTCTCTAGAAGTTTCCTGCTTTCCCACCATACTTAAAATGGAAATACAGAAACAACAAAATACACAGAAATACAACTTTAACAGCCTTTCACCTTAACAACAGTCTCATGTGTTTACTTGCTTGCCGGCACTGACAGGCAGTCAGAGCCACTCTGCACACACAGACATGTAAGGGGGATTCTAAGAAACACAATGTGATTTCAGCACGTAAGTCCCATTGAAAACCTCAGCTACAATAAATATTCAACCTACCATGCATTCAATTTATACAAATAACTGTAGCTGGATGACGAGCTATTAGAAAACAAATTACATTCTTCCTTTAAGGAAAAGGAATAACAGCAGCAGGATACAGTTCAGGTTCTAAAATACATTTTTAAAATACCAACTGGATTCTCAGAAATGTCATGACTTTGAGGAGCCTCCATCAGATCCTGCTGCTCGAAGTGCAAAGAAAGAAAGAAAAAAGATGAAATCCTGAACCTGCCCCATCCCTGGCAGTGTTCAAGGCCAGGCTGCACACAGGGGCTTGAAGCAACCTGCTCTTAGTGGAAGGTGTCCCTGCGTGTGGCAGGGGGTTGGAACTGGATGAGCTTTAAGGTCCCTTCCAACCCAAACCAGTCTATGAATCCATGAAAGGTTAACATTGTAGAAGAGCAAACAGACAAGAGTGATTGACAGGTGGAAGAAAGCCAAAGTAAAATGCTAACATTATAAAAAGGATCTTGACAGTAAACTCTATATTGGTCTGTCAAGGTGCAAGCCAACATTACCATCACTTTGAAAGTATTTTATTAGATTTTTTAATTAATCAGGTATCACTTAAAACTGTTCTAACAAGTAACAAAATACAAAGCAGTAGGAGGACTTTTTTGCACTCTTTCTCATATGCTGTTTAGCTCAGTGCATGTTTACTGCTGATTGCGTTACAATGGACTATGACTCACTGTCTGTCCAACTTCTTCTCCAAAACATTAGAATTAATATTATCTCAGATTCCTATTCTGGACAACAATCACTTTCACTCTCCTGCTGTCCTCCACTCATGCATCACTGCATATGGCAGTCATGCTGGGCCAAGATCAGAAGACATTGTACCTGTCTTTTTCCTAAACAAAGCAACATAACCTGAAGTATCACCAGAGTATCAGCCAACTTAGTCAAATCTTTTACTTACCCATCCATTGGATCTGCTCTTAAAAAGACATACATAATATTCTGTATATGTCACAGAGCACAGTGAACATTGCTCAGCTTCCAACCTGAACACACATTATCTGCATTTTTTTCTGTGCTTATCATGGATGCTATCTGTGAGCTCCACAAACATTTCCCTAACCCACATGAGGAAGTATCATCATGATTTTAGAAAGGCAGCACACAGCTGCTGAAGTCACTACGCATAGTGACTGCAAAGGCATTAACTTACATGATAGTGTCATGTCTGAAACAGGAGTGCTTCATCAAATGTCTCATTCACGCATTCATCAACTTCAGCTGTATCCAGGAAGATCAAACACTCGTGCAAATCTGGTTATCAGACTCCTTATGTCAGGTACTCAAAACATGTCTAATGCACAACTAGTGACTGCAGAAAATTCAGTTCAACTGAACTACCTCAGAAGCCACAAATAATTCCTTTCCTTAGTCTCTTCAACTAAGACCACTGTTTCCTTGCCTGTATCCCTAAACCTTCTCTTTCTGTCATACAGTCCATGGACTTTTTAATATCTAGTGGGATCAAAACAGTAATCATTGAACTCATTGGTTCCTCCTAATGCCTTTATTTATTCAACTCAGAGCAACACCCAGTATACTCAGTGCCAGAGCTGGCACAAAAGTATGTTATTAGACAGATAAAGACTGTGTTATTTCATTATTGCATAGTGCTGAACGTTACAACACTTTTAACACACATAGTTTTATTTCCTAAGTTTGAGGAGGGTTTTTTTCCTTTTTACAAAACCTAGGAAAAAATCAATATTCCATTCTTTAGCATCACACCGATGGGTCATCTTTGAAGTGCTAAACATCTAATAAAGTGTTCCCACACAGCAGGAACATGTTTTCATTTTTTAGCTCCAACAGCAAACAAGGAAAAAAAGGACACTTTTCCAAAGAACTCAGCAAATATTCACGAGCAAGTCGAGAAATACCAAGAGTCAACTTAAAGTCGTCTGTTGCTCAAGTAAGAAAAGCAAACTGTGACATGAAAGGGGACCATGCTCTTTGGAGCACAGATTCTTTTTCCTATCCCTCCTACCCCAGTGTGTTCCTGCTTCAGTCCTGATGCAGCCAAGCTCTTTTTTCCAGTTTCACCCTTCCTCTCCAGTTGCAGACACCTTCACCTATAAGCCTCTTATTGCAGAGTTAACCAGAACTCTACCAACCTAAGTTTCTTTGGAAAATATTCCTTAGGAAAAGCTTCATTTGAAACTTGATATAACTGGAAATAGGGTCTTGTAGCACAAAGCATCTGGAAAACACTGGTGTAATGCAGTCAACGTTGTTATAATCCCCAAGACACTAATGAGAAAAGATTCAGCACCAGAAGCTATACTGTATATCCTTAAGTGAGAAGGATACATCAAACATTTCATAGAATTCAAATGATGAAATAAGTATTTAGACTCACGTACCCCACTGTGTCTAACTAAATATTCACCTCAAAGTAATCTGGGCTGATGAATATTCCCATTCATGTGCCAGAACCATTTTAAAATGCTTTGTCACGTTTTCATTCTCCGAAACAGCAAATGAAGTGAAGGCAGAGATTACCAAATTTGGGCTGGCACTAGGTTTAACTAAGACTATCAAAGAAAAGATCTCGGTGGAAATTCCCATGAGTTCCAGTGGACTTAATTTGCACACACTAACATGCAAGCATGATCGGAAAAGTACAGAGCATAATGCAGAGTGTCCTGGGTTCAGCAGTAGCAGTCATTTGTCTCCTTAGCAGCTGGTGCAGCGCTGTGGTTTTGACTTTCAGCCTGGGAACGCACTGGTAACACCAATGTTTTTAGTTGTTGCTAAGTGCTAAGTAATGTTTAGTCTGACCAAGGACTTTCTGAGCCTCATGCTCTGCCAGAGAGGAGGGGAAGCCGGGAGGAAGCAGAAACAGGACACCTGACCCAAACTAGCCAAAGAGGCATTCCATACCACAGCACGTCATGCCTGGTATATAAACTGGGGGCAGTTACTCGGAAGGGCTAGATCACTGCTCGGTTGGACTGGGTATCGGTCGGCAGGTGGTGAGCGGCTGTATTCTCTTCCCTTGTTATTTCCCTTATCATTATTATTACTGATGGTAGCAGCAGTGATTTGTGTTACACCTTAGCTACCGGACTGTTCTTATCTCAAACCGTGGGAGTTGCATTCTTTTGGTTCTCCACCCTATCCCTCCAGGAGCTGGGGGAGGAAGGAGGGGGGGAGTGAGCAAGCAACTGCATGGCTCTGGGTTGCCAGTTGGGCTTAAACCACAACACAGAGCTATTGGTCCAGATGCTGTATCAGTAACTTTCTATTATGTTGTTCCTTTATCTCAGCTCTCTACACGTGCCACCCTTCCCTCCCAGTTCCCTCTGTCCACCTTCGTTCTCCTCCTCCACTACCCCAAACAGAGATTTTAAGCAATACCAACTTGTTTTCTCTGGTGCCCTCTACGGGACAGACTTCTGCAACAGAGAGATGCCAGGAAGACTCCACAGACTTGTCCCTCCCAGAGGAGAGAGCACAGGGCAACCTAAATCAAATACACTTGGAATATTGGAAGGGGAACTTCTGAATTGCTGATGGCTTTAGCTCATTCACAAGTTATATGCCATGGGTCTCTGCAGCAACTGCTCTTGTAGCGGTTGCTTCCCTGTAAGATCTTTTAATTCTTCTTCAAGAAAGCAGCAACAAGTTCCTGAAAAGGTTTCATGGGTTGTTTTTTTCCCAAAATCTACAAAAGCCAGAGTCAGTAAGCATTCAGTCTCATCTGTTGCTTAAGGTCAAAACACATACATAAAAACTGGCTGATCAGATACTTATTTGATAGGAAAGGCTCAAACTTACATTAGAAAGGATGAAACATAAATCTCCACTTCAGGAGGCCAACAAAAGGACGTCAGACATAAAACAGGATTTTTAGGTATTGAGACAGACTGTGACAGTAGGACTTCAGGTTTTACAGTTCTGGTTGATTTTTCCCCTCTACCAAGATACAAATTACAGAGTATCCAAATACACAAATTAACCTCATCTTCATCTGTAGAAACTGGAATACTTTTTATACACAATATAAATACTCACCTACAAGGAGAGGGAAAAAACATACTATCCCCTATGTAGTAACTGCCCCACAAACAGAGAAGAATAAATTACTTATAGCTAGAATATAAAATAAAGGATTTACAATGCCAGTAAGAAATTTTAAGCTTCTACAAAGAATCAGATGTCTAACAGATAGGAAAGCACTGGGACTGACTGCTGAGGAGGATGCAGAAATTTCAGTGTCAGGCATTTTTAAGAACAAAAATCAGGACTGGTTTACATCCAATGGACTCTGTGCCAGATGAGACCATTCTAGAAAATGGAATGGTCTAAACAAGAACCAAAGAAAGATTCCAGTGACATAAGGTCACGGGGAAAAAAAACTAAGTCAGCAGAAGGCCTGGCCGAAACAAACAAACAAACAAAAAAAAAACAAAAAAAAAAAGAAAAAAATCAGAGGCAGGTTAACGTTACTCACTTGTTTCACATTTTCTGCCAAGAACACAACATAAACGCTACAAAATCCCAGCTGTGTTATCACTAGGAAAAAGTCGACAATATACCTGAGGAAGAAAAAACAAACATGCATTATACTTAGGATCCAAACAATAAGCCCATTTCTACCTAATAGGCAATTACTGCTCCTTTTACACTAGTCAATACACTAGATTCAAATGCCACATTAATCTCATGAGCACTGCAATGCAGGTTCCTTTTACATTGCACATCAAGACTACTAATGCAAGGGAAAGAAACTTTTATTGTCATTGCCACTTTAAAGTAGCTGCATGTCATTACTGCAAAATATAGTGCATATTTCTCCATTATTTGTATGTTACATTTAAACAACATAAATCAAATAATTGCTTTGCTTCCTTCCAGAATAAATATACTGAAGTAATTAACATTTGCAGTGTCAACCTGCTTGAAGCAGAGTGAACTCTGATGCAGAGAAAGGTGTTTACGATAAAAGAGAATGACAACTTAAATTACCTTATTACATTACACAATACAGAATGCACTTCTGGTTATACCACATCTCTTCCTATATTACCAAATTCTTTTCTTCGAAGCTCTCAAGGACCTGAGAATTGAAATGCTTAACAGAGAGAGACACTCCCCAATACTCTCACCTTTCCTCTACTAGCTGGCTGCAGGAAGTAACAACTCTGTGTCAAAGTATTTCAAGCATACAGAACACACTGTCAAAGCAGGCAACATCTTAGTAAAAAGGAGATCTCCTGACTATTCCAAGTATAGCCACTAAATGTTTAATAAAGAATTTATTAAATTAAATTCTAATGCAAACTTACCGCCCCCAGGAAGCTCGTTTCTGAAGAGGAGTCAAAGGCCCCACTTCCATGGCGTAACTAACTGTGTCACTATATCCCAGTGAGGACTTTTTCATCCTGAAATCAAAGAGATTGAAGAAAAAACTGAGTTACGAGAAACTACAAGGACTTCGATCCCTACCTTGAAAATGCTGGTGGCCTCACAGAATCACCTGTGGCACCATTCTGTGGCTGCTGAACTTTAGAGATATGGTTTGGGCTTATTTCCTCCAGGAAGGACTAATCAGCACTCCACAAGCATGTGAACCACAACGTTGCTTCCCCCTAATGCAACAGTTTCTTGATACATTAATCCAAAATCAGATTCTTATATCAGTTTAAGAAATTCATCTCAAATCTAAAAGTCACAAAGAGCTTCAGAAGGATTCAACAGATTTTCCTGGACAAGGAGGCATTGCAGTTGTTTCAGCGATCTGTTTTACATACATCTTCAAAGGCCATTTAAAACTACAGAGGAAAAAGTAAAGAACTCAGGAATGACAGGATCCACAGCACAATATCATCTTAAACTGATATGGGAGTTTTTTCACTACAGGGACAGGGACAGTTTTGTGATTCTGCTCAGTTCAAAACCTTCACTGCACTTTTTAAAAACAAGACTCTGCTTCTGTCTAACATCCGACAGATAAAAACATTTAATAAGTTACTATTAATCAAAAGAATCAGTCAAACTTTATAAGCTGCTTTCTCCCCCCCCCCCAGTATTGTAAATGTCACTTGGAAGCGCATCTAGTGTTTATCTGCATCATTTTAACACATTCCTTCAGCACTAGAATTTCAAACAATCAAGTTATCACAATCCAAAGACACAGAGCTCACAAATACTCTTGAAAGATTAACTGTTAACAATAGTTCTTAGTCTATCTTTTATCCCTATGAAGTACTTATAAACTGGCTATTTATAAACTGGACACTTTTCAAAGCTATGAAGATCCAGAAGCTATGAAGAAAGCTATGTGGATAAAGAAGGACTAATAGACTGAAACCAAGCAATTAAAACTGTAATGAGAAAGACCCGATTATGTGCCAGCAAAGACGGGAAAACAACTTCATTTTGTGTATGAGCAGAGAACAAATATTTTTTCAATATATTAAACTATAGCTATCATTTATAGCTGCACAATCCAAAACTGAGTGTTACTTCTTGCAAGTTCAAGATTCTGAACTGAAGGGAAGAAACTGCTACAGCATCAGGACATTCTGTAGGCCAACAATCGGAAACAGAAAAGAAGAAAGAAAAAACATAATACCCAAATTCAGCAACAGAATGAGCAGTTCCACATTTACCTCTGACATAGACAGTGGCTGCAACGTACCAAGATGTGCATACAATGAACAGATATAACTCCTATGAACACAAGGCTGATTGGTCCAATCTGGTATGGAAAAAAAAGGGAGAACACAGGAAATAAAGAGGATTTTTCATTAAAATATGCTGGGAGAAAATCTTTACATGCAAAAACATTTACATGGTAGCAAATAAATTAAGAATTAAAAATTTTATGCAACTAGATTCCCCCCCCCTCAGATGAGGATTCACTGCTGATCTTTTACGGCATTCCTTACTTCTAGCTCGTTACTTGAGAGAAGGCTGCTAAGGGGCAATAAAGCACAAACACAGAATGGGTGTGAATAGCTTCATCCTCTAAAAGCTTTACTGAGATATGCGCCAAAAAAATCTGTTAAGAGAAAAGACTGCATATACTGCACAATCCAAAACAGTGGTTTGAACTACTTCAAAGTGGCATAACACTTCCCCTTGCATTAGTAGACTTGATGTATAGCATAAAAACCAAACAAACCCTTGATAATTTCTATTATTACAGATCTAAGTTAGAGATAATTTGAAAATTGAACAATTTGTTTGAGTAGCAGTTTGACCAAAGGCTTTCACAGAAGATACTTGCTTCTCACATGTAACTTTCATTCTTAAACTGAACACCCAGTAAAAAAGAATTACAGGATTATGCAGTCGTAAGGTGAAAATGTCACTTGATTAAATTTAGCCTGGCTTAGGACATGCCCCAGTTTGCTACCCAGTATAAACAAGCTGTGGTATACCCTGCTTCTGCAGAAACACAAGATTGAGTTAACAATCTTGTTAAATGCAATCTGTACAAAGAGATCAGATGTAGAGAAGCCTGTACAAAGATAAGACAATGCCAGAATAAAAATCCCTGTGAGTTTGAGTGCATCAGAGTCTTCCTCCTAACAAAGTTTTGCTTTCACCAGAAAAACACTTCAGCTAAGCAAAAATACAACACAGTCTTCAGGGTGAAGTTGTAAGTTTAAGAATCAAATCCTCAATCTTCAGTACAAAATTCAGTCTAAAGAGATAAAAATAGAACACAATCCTCTTGAAGCTGACAGTGATAAAATCTCAATACAAAAAGTATTGAGATTTCAGTTTTTCAGGCTTAGACACACATCTTCATATCTTCCCAGATAACTTTTCTAATAATTGAATCCTTACCACAATGCCAGCATTTTTTATAGCAAGTGGAAGACCAAGAAGCCCAGTTCCAATATTTCCCTTGAGGAGGTGTGTCAGTGTTTGTGTAAACCTGAGGGTAAAAATATGAAGCCATGTTAGAAGTACACTGAGACTGGGAGAGAGAGGGGGAAACAGAAAAAACAAAACCACACCCTCTGTCACTTATTAATAAATGGATAAATTCTGAGCTTCAACTGCTTTAAGGTAGTCCAACTACTTTAAATGATGCACGGAATACTAAATGTTCTTATTCCTCTTAACATGTGAGCTCCCCCAAATAGAACATACAAGTCTGATCTTCAGTTCTTCCCTCCAGCTTGTGAAATGTTATTTTTCTGTGCAACTTTACTGTCCTTTAGCCTCAGAGTAAAAATTAACACGTTTCATCACTACTGGTTTAGTATCAGCAACATTCTGACCTGCAAATCACAAGTCTGACAGCCAAAGCTCTACCAAAAGAAAATAAAAGCTTCACACATTCTTCTAATGAAGCTTTAAGAAACTGATTATTTCCAAAGTCATCTTAAGTTTCTTTACAAAAACATAAAATCAGTCAAAACCCTTTTTAAACAGTGCTTGGGTTCTGAGTGACACAATCACTTCACAAATCAGCACCCTGGAATATTTTATGGCCAGTCCATTGTTAGCTTACGAAAAGCACAGAACCTACTCAAAAGAGGCTGCTTTTTGGCAGAACTGTGCAAAGTCCCAATGTATTACTACAAAATTGTACCACAGGTGCAAGAAAGCCCCTTAAGAGTTTAGTAAACTACTCATGAGAAACAAATTGAAGGAACAGATTTTAACAAGCTGATACATACGTAATGCCTCCTCCATCACCAAGCTGGTAATGCTTCTCAACTGGCAGGATAGCACTTTCATGCTCTTCATCCGAGAGGCCATCTGAGTTTTGTTCATCAATTAAAGGCTTCATTACTTCCATGTCTGTACAACAGAGTTAACGGTACATTAGCACTAGAAACAAGCTTACAGTTTAGAAGCAAAAGAGGACTCAAAGTTCCCATGCCATGAGGTTTGCATGTGCTCCTAACTGTAAAGCTGATTTAGGCAGATACATATGCACAGCCCAAGTTCGCACAGGGAATCCTGTCTCTTTAAAGCAGCACACCATCACATTATTATTATGGCCAAACACTGTTTTTTTATTATGAAAAACAACTTTATCATAATATCAATGCTTTTGATCACTTTGCAAGCTAGTATAAGAAAACCAAACCAGAAAAGTCATCCATTGCTACCAAAGGATGAGATCTTACCCTCCATTAGCTCCTGCAAAACTAAGCATTTAGTTTACTCTTATCAGTGGTGAGCAAGGGTACTCTCAACAGTCACCCCATCCTAAAATGGGTAGGTAAAACAGGTACCGTGGAGGAGCTCTCCAGTTACTGGCAAGAGAACCAAGATGAAGCAATTATGATGCATGCTTTGAAACCTGAAATTACATTAACCTTTTCAAGTAGCAAAAACTGCCACCACAGTCAACAAATGCAATTCCACCATCCAGCCAAAAACAGCGCCAAGCAACAGCAAGCAGCCAGCAGTGAACAAAACTGCCTTTGAGGCAAAACTAACAGCTTACACCAGTTTAATGTTGATTAAATTATAATCACTTATTTTTAAATTACTACAGTTAAGCAAAATGAATCCTGCCAAGAGCAAAAAGATTACTTCTTACACTTGCCTACCACAGTATCATTCATCAAACATAGAATCACAGACTGGTTTGGGGTGGAAGGGAGCTTAAAGCTCACAAAGTTCCAACCCCCTGCCACAGGCAGGGATACCTTCCTCTGTACCAGGTTGCTCCAAGCCCCTGTGTCCAACCTGGCCTTGCACAACACTGCCAGGGATGGGGCAGCCACAGCTTCTCTGGGCAACCTGTGGCAGTGCCTCAGCACCCTCAGATTGAAAGATTTCCTCATGTCCAGTCTAAATCTACTCTATTTCAGTTTAAAACCCCTTCCCCTTCCACAGGCACCACAGGCCCTGGTAAAAAGTCTCTCTCCAGCTTTCTTACAAGCCCTCTTTTAGGCAGTGGAAGGCTGCAATAATATCTCCCTGGAGCCTTCTCTTCTCCAGGCTGAACAAGCCCAAGTCTCTCAGCCTGTCTCCATAGCAGAGCTGCTCCAGCCCTCAGAGCATTTCTGTGGCCTCCTCTGGACTTGCTCCAATGGGTCCACATCTTTCTTGTGCTTTCAGAGCTGGATGCAGTACTCCAGGTGAGTTCTCATGAAAGCTGAGCAGAGGAAGATCACTATGGTGCAATGCTACACCATTTCCTATGCTAACAGCAGTATCATAATAGTCCTTTTTTAAAATTTCCACAAGGAGACTGCATTTCCAATCACACACTGCCAGAACACAGGAAGGAAAAGCTCCCCTCCATGAGCAAAAGCTATTGCTATGCATAAGTCGCATACACTAACCTTCACTCGCCTTGCAATTTTGCAATGGCACATTTTGTCCTCGTGCCGTTTCTTGAGCTTTCAATTAAATGACTTCCCATGCAACTGACCACCAAGCATGCAAGACTTTTACGTGTTCTGCTTTTTCATCTTTTCCTCCTCTGCTGGATCCACTAAATTATCTCCATATCAAAGAACACATAAATACTTTGGGCTTGATTGTTTCACTTTTGTGCGTTTGCCTCCATGACATGACATTTCCTCTCCACCCCATAACTACTCATTTTTTAATGCGCCTATAAAATCTTCTTTGTAACTTCTCCTTATGCCTTTTGGTATATGCTGTGCTGTACTTGAACCTTTCTCCAGGCAGCCTGCCACCTCAAGATTTGTTGACAAGATTCAAGAAGACCCATAAAACTGCCAAAAATTGGAATGGAGTTCTCTGAACTACAGCACACAGCCTCACAACTGAGAACAACTGCAAGCAGGTGCTCTTGGTATATTTTCTTATTCCACTTTTACAATGCTTCAAGCACAGTTGTCCTTTTTCACTGCAAAGTGTTCCTTACTATGGAACCACCTCAACCCAAAAGAAAGAAGACAGTGAATTTAACCACCCCTGCTTTTTAACTTGAGTCACTGGGATAAAGCACCTGACAATCCTTTCAAGGGAAAAAATGGTGTCTAAATACCTATACTATGGCGGCTTGAATGTTTATTTCTGGTCCTGGGGAGGTGTAAGTTACGTATCTTTTAGTATCTGTTTTCCCACACCATTCTGCTATTTTACTAGTGTCACTTATGCAACAGCCAAATTTCATACACCCGGATGAAAGCTATCTCTGATTATGGCAGAAAAGCAATGCATCATAAAAAAGATTTATTTTGAAAATCATGTTAAAGTTTATTTACAAAGTGGCTCAAAGTACAAGGCAACACATTTTATACAAAACTTGACTCCTGGTAGCATGGATCCTCCTATTTGAAAGGAGTACCTGCTATTCTGTAGTCACTACATGCAAGAACTGAACCACTTTCTGCTGTTTATCAGTTACCTACATTCTGCTTTCAGTACATATCACAGTAACCTTTCTAGTATCATTGGTCTACTGGTAGATTTGAATAAAGACCTGAATGTCAATAAGAGTTAACAGAGTGGCAGGACCTTGGGCATTTCTTTAAAAGTGCTTCTTTCAAATGCAGCTAAGCAAAAGCAGCCAGACAACACTGAAGTGTCAAGCTGCTAAGTGTCAAAACACTGATTTTACAGGGAATTTCCTTATGTGAAGAACATAGCACCAGCTGTTCCTGAGAGAAGGGGAAAATTCACCTTACTTAAACAATGAAAATGGGTCTGTTTGACCACACAGAAAGAAGGTAATTTACCTCACATGTTCCACTACAGAACGTTTTAAAGATGCATTCAATTGAAACAAACATTTGCATACATTTCTTTTTATAGATACAATCTCTGCCAACCTTCATTGCACAGTATTTGCAGTATGTAACTGATTTTATTGCTATTAGTTTACCATACTGCTGTACTTCTAAAACTTCTAAAATGCTTATCAAATTGGTATCCTTAAAAGAAAAAAAGGAGTTAAGTTCATCTGACACTTCTCAGAAATACAGCCAGACCTTCCAAAGCTCCAAGACCACTGACACCAGCTTTTCTCTGAGGTGGTAGCTGGTCGCAACAGCACCAACAACTGGAGCACAGTCAAAGGCTTACTTAATGATCTTCTACAAGTGGCCTTTTTATCAGACAAGAGGCATTTATTTCCACACAGTTATTATGGAAACATTTGTCTGAGCATATGTCTGGAAACAAAGAAACTCTTTTCTTAAAAACAGGATTCAAAGCACTTACTACAGGTTCCCCTCAAATACTGCTATTTGGTCTCTATTCTAGCCACAAAAATGCTTTTGAGTTGCCTCTTTTCCCCATTATTATCCTTTTATCGCATGAGTGGTGCATAGCTTTGGCCTAAAACATGTGAATCCCTTAACAGTAACGGTATTGGGACATAATATAAGGTTTGGATCATGCAACTTTCTAAGCATTTGAGAATAGATCACTGTTGGAATACCAAGGCTACATACGTCCTTATGGCACAGTCCATATTCACAGTGACATCCAGATTTGTGAAACATCCACATTTCACAGATCCAAGGTCGGAACCTAGAGTGCATTAAGTAAGGCGGCTTGAGCTTTTTCTGCCCCATAAGGCAGATGCATACTCATGCAGATGAGCAAGTGGCCTGCATGCTGGGACCTAACCTGAAATTAACTTTTCTGGGAAGTCCATGGTCACTGCCTGAAAATGGGCACAGGATACATACATTCACTTTGATTCCTTCCTAGAGAGGTCCGGTATGTGCAGTTCAAATGTGCAGCTACAAAAACAGGATACACATACGATGCCTGAGTCAAAGGCTGCCTGCTGCTTCACGGAACACATGGCGCAGAGTACACCTCAGCCTACCTTAGGCCCATGTCCACCAAGCGGTCCACACTGCATCCAGACACCACAGACTATTTTATGACCCGATCCAGTCCTCAGTCACATGACTCACTAAAAATTTTGCATCAACTTTATTCAGCACAACGAAGAATGGAGGAATTCACTTCTGCACACCCTTTTGTTTGCACATAACCAAAGTACCAGCCAATCTTCAGCCCTGCCTTTCCTTCCACTAATATGAATTTCTTTCTCCTTGTGCCACCACAAAAATCTTTTCAGATCAAATGCTGGCTTCCAGCTATTTTAACAGTTATTTAAATAGCCCTCATTGTTTCTGCTTTCTTCTGTGAATGCCCATGTAAGAAGGAGGCCAAAGAGCTCTGCAAGTACTACAAGGAAGGCAACACAAAGTGCATTTCAACTTCTTCCAAAATTACCTCTGCAACATTAACCTGATCCCTTAACCCACTGGAGAGGCAAATCACTGCTTCACTACAGCTACACACCACACTGTAACCAGGCATAAATGTCAACACCATATCCCCCAAGACCTCTGACGAATTTCAATCACTACTCAACTACTACTTACATACTGAGATGATGATTACTGTAGTGCTTAAATTCTTATGACCAGTATTTCCAGTTTAGTATCTTCAAGTGTATTTCTCTATCTCCTAGAATTTGCCAGCATCTTGCCAACATTCATGCACACACTGCCAAAGAAGCCTTCGAACCGTTACTAAATGTACTTAGTCCTAAACCTTTTATAACACACTCAAGCAATCCTTTGGTTCAAAAGCTCTGCAAGAAACTAAGTTTAACTCAGAACTTAAGTTTTCTATACTGTTCAAGCAATTAACACTTTCAAAATTAACTGAACCTTTTAGGTCTACATGAAACAAAACTTATCTCCATCATTTTCATTTTATGGCAGAAACAGTGACAAGAGGATGACACAGTTTGCCAGGGCCACATAGCAAATTAAAGGCTAAGGAAATATTAAAAACAAAGCCAAAATGCAATCTTCCATTGCTCCTTTGGAGAAGGTCACCCTCCCAGACAAATTCTATCTAAAACCCCTTTTCTAATCCACCTTGGCAATATGATCTGTTGGGCTTCTTTTTTTTTTCCTTGAGGGTTTTGAAGTCAGTGTTGTCAAACAGAAAGAACTGGATTTGACATATAAGCATAAGAAGATTTGGGGTACAGGATGTAGCTTATCGTTGTTTACATCAACTGTTTTCCTCATTTATGGATAGAAGAATCACACAGGTCTTGAAGTACCACTTCACATATACATTAAATGCGTGGCAAAAAGCATTATGCAAACTGGTTAGTCAGCTTCTACACAAAACCATGCTAACAGGGCCAGAAACACAGCGCACAACTCACAGTCCTGTGAAATGTGTTTATTAACTAGAGGGTGACCCAGTGCCTCTGTAATAGGGATGAAGATTCAATTCAATAAGCAGCTGTTTTGACTGCTGGTTAAAAATCAGAACCACAGAATCTTTACAGTAGCCTAAAATGTGGGCTTATGCTGGTATTTTCTCACAGGCTACAAACTGCAATCCACACCCACGATCCAGAGGGCATATCCAGTGAATCCGCCACCTAACCAAGCCTGTAACTGCTCTTACAGGACAAGTTTAATGACCAAGACTCTGAATAGGAGACACAGTCAAGGACATACCACTACAGTGTAACACAGAAAACACACTGATACGAGATGGCAACCACAACTGTAGTAACAGGAGAAGCCTTGTGTCCCCATCAACCGCATTCAATTTATCATCTTAACACTGTGGAGAGGCTTTTCAATCCAGCATTCTGAACCAGGGCTCTCAAGAAAAACACAGTTACAAAGAAAACCTTGTCACTAATTATTTTCTGAATCTGCAACTGGTTAGTAAACAGCTTGCCCCGTAATGCTCAGTTACTCCCTCAACCACAAAGAAATCTCTGTTCCTGCACTCTTCACCCTATAAATAGCCTCCAACATTTCTCCAGAAGGCATCAAACTGCAAAGTACAGTGTTGGACATGAAGCACACGTGGATCTGGCAGCATCTGCCACGTTACTCACGTGCTTCCACAACCATGGAAGAACTTAAGAGATCCACAAGAAGTGACTGGGAATGGCAGTGCTAGGGCCACGCTAGGGCCATGCTGGTCCAGATCAATACACTTCTGTCAACTTCTCTAGTTCAAGAGGGAGCTAACAGAGAATCCCACTCAACCACACACAATCCAGCTCCCTTTTTATTTTCCACAATTCCTACAGAATACAAGAGAGACGAGAATAAACAGAGAAACCCTCTCAAACTAAAATGTACTGTCCAGAATTAAGAAGAAAACCTCCTCTGGTTTAAAAATTCCTATAAAATATAATAATTACATTTTCAGGCTAGCAGAAGCTAGCATTAGCTTTTATTGTTTATTTTTCCAAGAACTTTACTTATGCTTCATGCAGTTATCTGAATCACTCTTCATTTTTTCTTTGGAAAACATATATTGTGTGTCATTTATTTCTCTCCATTACAAGCTGTAACCTAATAGAGTAGATTCATCATGCTTTATGGTAAAATTTATTAATCCTGAGAACAGCTGTTTCCAAACAAATATTGAAAGTCAATAATGTCACTCCATAAGCAGGAAGAACTGTTTGCTTTTACATCCTACCTGTCAAATCCAGAAGCCTAATGAAACAAGACACTTGAGTTATTAACCAAAGCATACACAGCTCTCCATAGTTTATTACACACTCTCAGTGGAGCTCTTTTACACCAACCCACAGTGGATCATTTATTTGGGAAGATGTCAGTCTTAAATAACCCACTGTCCTGTCTGGAAAAAGCTACACATTTCTACATGATTAATACACTTCCAAATGACACACTGGTAAGACTCAAGTTTTATTGAGTATTCAACAGGACCAAAACATGTAAGATTTCAGAAGCTTTTTACCAGGTGTTGACCTTCACTCAGAAACCACTGATGTCATGAAATACTGATTCTAAGGCTTCTGACAGAGAAACTGACAGATACGTGAAACTTAGCCTACAAAGTCTAAGATTTCTATCTGCCACCTATGTCAGAAGGTGGCAACATCTCACTGTAAGATGAATCAGCCCCTGGGACAATACAGTCTGAAGCACATCTGCTTCCCAGCGTTACCACTGGACAGCATGAATTCTTTGGATTACAGTGGAACATCTGAGAGTTTTAGTCTGTCCAGCCTACCATTACCTATGCTTTACGAGTACGTTACCAATTCTCTCTTGTCATCTACGGCTACACAAATTAGGGGGCGAACATAATATGTGCCTTCTGCACTCAAGATTTAAAGCTCCGAAGACTAACCTGCAATAAATAGAGCTAAAATATCAACACACATAGCCCCAAAAGAGCCCAAATAAACCACAACCCTTCACCGACGGTAACCGCATCACCTCACAATGCACACAGAAAGCGTTTCCGCTAATTTCTATGCAGGACTTTCCAACGAAATGAGGGTCCAGCCAGGCGCCACTAACGCCTTCAGCAGCCGCCCCGAGTGACGGGCTCCGGCTAAGCGGGACCGCGGCCCGCCCTGAGCCCTGCTGTGGCGAGCCCTAGCTGGGATCCCCTTCTGAAGGGCCCGCGGAGAGAGACGAGGCCCCGCCGGCTGTGTGCCGTGCTCCGCTCCCTTCAGCCCCGCCGGCCGCAGATGCCGCTGGCCCGGCTCCAGGCGCCCAGTCCTCGCCTCCCGCCTCCCCGCTCCCGCGGCGCTGCTTCGCGCTGGGGAAGCCCCGGCAGCCGCCGATGCCTGACGCGGGCAAGCGGCCGGACAGCGCCCACCCCTCCCCTAGGTGGGATGGTTCATCCCGCCCGCCTCGATGCGCTGAACCACTGCAGCGCATCCCCCGTAGGCAGAACCATTCCGCCTCGAGGGGAGGGGGATAAAGTTAGCCGGCCGCTCCTCACGCTCACACGCCCTGCTCTCCGCCCCGCGGCGCACCGCCATCCCGCAGCCCCTCGGCCGCTCCCGCCGCCCCGCACGCCTCACCCAGCTCCTCCCGGCCGGCGCGGTCCATCGCCCCGCCGCCTCTCCGTTCGCCCTTCCGCCAAGGTGGAGCCGGCCGGCGCGGCGCTGCGCATGCGTCCTGCGCGATGGGCTGGGACCCGCGGTAGCGAACCATAGATAGCAGCGGGAAAGACAAGCCCAGTGTGGCTGGTGTTGGTCCTCCCGGACTCTCTCTGTGTGTGTGTGTGTGTGTGTGTGTGTGTGTGTGTGTGTGTGTGTGTGTGTGTGTGTGTGTGTGTGTGTGTGTGTGTGTGTGTGTGTGTGTGTGTGTCTGTGTGTGTGTCTGTGTGTGTGTGTGTGTGTCTGTGTGTGTGTCTGTGTGTCTGTGTGTGTCTGTGTCTGTGTCTGTGTGTCTGTCTGTGTGTCTGTGTGTGTCTCGCCCTCGGCAGTCCCAGGGTTGATCCTGTGCACGGCACAGGCTATCCCTGCTGGTGCGGGGCTCCGCATCCACCTTCCAATGGCTTCCACTGCTGGAGGTTGTCCCCCTCACACCTCCAGGCCTCACTCTCACAGAGCCTCCCTGTGCCTCCTGGCCCGGCTGTGCTGCTATGGCAGTCCATGGTTCCTGCAGAGCTCCAGCCACCCTCAGAGAATCAAAGAACAGTTTGGGTTGGAAGGGACCTTCCAAGCTCATCTAGTGCAATGAGGAAGGACATCTTCAGCTAAGTCAGTTTTCCCAGAACCACAGCCAGCCTGGCCTTGAATGTCTCCAGGGATGGGGCATCCACCACCTCTGGGGGCAACCACTCCAAACCACAATCAAGTCACTGTTTTACCACTCTCATTTTACTTTTTTCCCTCATATCCAGCATGCATCTCCCCTCTTTTAGTTTAAAACCATCACCTCTTGTCCTATCACAGCAGGCTTTGCTAAAAAGTCTCTCCCTATCTTTCTTATAGGCCCCTTTTAAGAACTGAAAGGCCACAAGAAGGTCTCCCTGCAGTCTTCTCTAGGCTGAACAACCCCAACGTTCTCACCTTTCCTCACGGGAGAGATGCTCCATCCCTCTGATCATCCTCGTGGCCCTCCTCTGGACTCGTTCCAACAGTTCCATGTCCTTTTTATGTTGAGGATACCAGAACTGCACACAATACTCCAAGTGAGGTCTCAGGAGAGCAGAGTAGAGGGGCAGGATCACCTCCTTCGACCTGCTGGTCACGCTCTTTTTGATGCAGCCCAGGATGCAGTTGGCTTTCTGGGCTGTGAGCACGCACTGCAGCCGGCTCATGTCCAATCTTTCATCCACCAGTACCCTCAAACCCTTCTCCTCAGGGCTACTCTCAATCCCCTCATCCCACAGCCTGTACTGATAACAGGTTTTGCCCCGACCTAGCTGCAGGACCCTGCACTTGGCCCCATTGAACCTCATCGGGTTCACATGGGCCCACCTCTTGAGCCTGTCCAAGTCCCTGTGGATAGCTTCCCATCCGTGGGTCATGATCACCCCTGGGAGAGAGAAGCAGGCCTGAGGTAACACATGCAGCTGGTGCCTTGCCATGTGCAACAGCTCATTTGGTTATGAAGCACAAATTATGGGTAATTTGTGTTTGCCTTCCAGCACTAGAAAATTAACTTGTATCTGTATTTTTTTAACCTTCAGAGCCATTCAGGAGCAGCTGCTTTTGGATCAGCACAGGCTGCATTATGGGAATTAGTGTTGCTGCTTGTGTCTGCTGTGGTTCCAGGTCGGATGGCCCCATAAAGCTTTGCCAACATCTGTTGCCCTCTCTAAGGCTGGGGAGCCTGGCTTTGGAGAGGGCACTGCAAGCATACAGCCATGATTAATAACTGAAGGCTGAAAACAAGGTGGGAGTTAAGAGTTCAGCAGTGCTTGACAGCTCAGCTTCTCAAGAGATTTGCAGTTTGGCCTCCTGCAAGACAAGCTCAAATTATTATACCTGTGTGAAACAAGAGCTGATTCAAAAGGACATTTGTGAGAATCATAGTTAATGATGGATCAACCTTCAGAACAAGAAGAGTTCTTAAGAGTTATCAAATGTTACCTGTAACTAATCATTTGATAGCAAATTACTCACTTCCTGAAACTGATGTTCCACTTCTTGTAGATTCTACAGGACCACTGCATCTTCTCTGTGCACTCTTGCAGATAAGGATATTTATTAACAGCTTCACCAGTAAGCAAAATAAATGTTGGGGAAATGCAGACAGTGTGAAACAGTGCAAAACGGCAGTTTAGAAATCCTCTCTTTATAAGTAAATGCTTCTATTCATATTAAAATAAAGCAGTATTTCCTGTAATTCCTTTGATTTTTTTTTTGTTTTATATCTTTAGAAGTCAATTGTACAAGGTGCTAAAACAGATTTCAGCCATACTCTGTAATCAAAGCTGTAATCAGAGCTCAAGGTTACTCTGAAGTGATATTCAGAATCCTTACTCTCTAAACCTTTCCTCTGAAATTAAGATTTAGACTTGTGCAGTAAAAGCTTTTATAACTCCATGAACTTTAATTTTAATTATTTGAAGACCATAATATAGAGCTGGTTGCAGGGGCATGAGGAGAAGGGATGGAGTGTTGTCCTAGTTGTCCTATATTGAAGAAAGACATAATGCCGAAGGATTTTCAACTGAAGTTACACTGTCTAACCCGAATGGATCACTCTCTGGTAGAACCTTCTTCCAGCAAGCATAGTCTCTTGTGAATTTTGAACACTTGGAGACTCATCTTCCACTAACCTGATACCCACCCTTTAACTTACCTTTCATGAGAATCATATATTAGGGATTTTTATCAAAACTTGTCAAGGTTCTGCCTACATCTATGGCTATAAAGTTTCCAGCTGTTGGTTTCCTTAAACAGAACATCTTTTGGTTTTTTGCAATGGAAATGTATGATAAAATTACTTGTCTTTTCTCTACACAGGAGAAATGTGGAAATCTTCTGAGCCTCTCAGAAGCTTCAGTCAACTTCAGACATGCATCATTCCTTCATTTATCTACAATTAATAAGTTCCAATGGGGAAAATACTCATTTTCAATTGGCAATATATATTTCCAGATACCACAGTCCTCCAAACTTTAATTAAAAAGAATGAGCCACGTGATTGAGCTACTGCTTCGCTTCCTCAAATTTGTCTTGGAAAAGCGTTCTCAGTCATCAATCTGTGACTGCAGGTTACTGATTTAAGGAACTGAGTCACTAGTTACAATGCTTGTATCAAGCCTTTACACAGGTGTATATGTCTTTTCTTGATAATATTGGATATACTTTATTCTCCATTGTTTCTAACAATGCCAAAGTTTGCTGAGAAAGAAGTATCAGATCATTAATGTATGTTCAGAATGTTTACTCAGTTAAGAGTATTCATTTCTTCTCCCTTGTCATTGCATCTCAGGACTTGGCTCACAGTAAATCCCGTAAAGGTGCTGAAAAGACATTAAGGATATAATACGTCTGTATTTCACATCCTGCCCACTGGAAAATGATTTGTTTCTACCATGTGCTGTTGTTGGCATCAAAGCTTCTTCATTGAGGAGGACGTTTATTATGTGTTTAGAGAGGTTTTTCTGATAGGCTCCAAAATATTATATCAAGTATCTAATAACCAGTGGTGACCAATGAATATCCAAAAAACATAGGAGCTGTGATGGATATTTGTGATTTTGTAATATGCATTTTGTTCCTCTTTGGTAAGAACAGAAGAATTTACTTTAATGGAAACATCTGGTTAAATCCTAGTCATCCATCCGTCAATGCAAAACTACTTCATGATGTGAATTTTGTAGTCACCAAATGCTTGTTTACCCAAGGCTTCATCTTCTGAACAACATATACAAATTCCCTCTTAGAAATCATGGATTCAACTTGTGTTGGTTCAGAACAAGGCCAGATGCAACACAATACCCACTTCATCCATTTTTATTGTTGTTTTTTTTATTAACAGCTAAGCCTGAAATCTGTAGGGGCCGTTTTCAGGATTTTTTTCTTTTTCTCTACTTAAATCAAGTAGAGGATTGATTATTAGCTTCTTAATAGAACAGCTGCTCTGCTTGGTCTGGCTAAACTTCAGTTTAATCCATGGCTAATTTTCCACACTTGTTTAGGGAAAAAAAATACAGGAAAATATGCAGAAATAGTGTTTTGCTACACAGATGTCAGCTAGCTTTCGTTCTGACATCTTTAGCTATCTTTAGTTCTTTAGCTCAAGTCTTGAGGGACTTTTCTTTCATTTCTCTATGGAATCTTTTTCTTTGCAATCCTTTCTGTTTGGCTTTCAGACCATCCCATGGCAGTGAGTCCTGAACTTCAGTTATGCATTGTGCAAAAAAGTGTGCCTTTGAGCCTACTACTTGATATTTAACCCCTAGTTTTGTAATCTAACAATAATTGTTGCACTTAAGTTCTCCAAGTCATTCCTGGTTTTACAGATCACTCATTCTCTTCTATCTCTTTTCCAGCTTGAAGAGTCCTAGTCTATTTAATCTCCCCTCACAGAGAAGCCATTCCATACTTTTTATTATTCCCGTCCCTTCCTCTGTGTTTTCTAGATCTCCTATGTTCATATGAGGACACCAGAACTGCAGAAATACAGGACACTAAAAACCCTTCTCCCTACATCTGACTGCTTTTTACTTCTGCTTTTTATAACAGTTTGTATTTAACTTTTACTCAGGTACTCACTTGCCAGGTGATTGATTACTTTGTGTGATGTTTTAATAAGCCATTGGTAGAACTCAATTATGTTGCCATCTGTCTGTCTGTAGACTGTAATCCTGTCTGATTGGCAGATGATTGGCATTCCTCCAAGGTTTATATCACTGGTTTATATTTAAGAGCACATTTAGAAATCACCTTGAGTATGAATATGGCATCCACATTTCATTAGATCCTGGACAGCATTTTGCTCATCTGAGTATCGAAAAGCAATAGCTCCTGTCATTTCATCACTGACATGAAAACACATATGTCTCTCCTTACCTCTTTCCAAGTTGTTTCACGCAAAGTCCTTATGTTCAGTGTTCTGGTCTATAATGGGCCGTTTCCAAGGATTCCCATTCTTGCTTTTTCTTGGTACAAATATTCTGTCTTCTATGCATCCTCCTTTCTGGTATTTATAGACATTGATGAGATCCCCC